TCCAACTCCTGGGCTCAAGCGAGTCTCCTGCCTCAGCCTCCCAAGTAGCTGGGACTACAGGTGCCTGCCACAACGCCCGGCCATTTTTTGGTTGCTGCCATCATTGTTGTTTGGCGGGCCGGGCTGGGGATTCGAACCCACCACCTTAGGTCTATGTGGCTGGCGCCTTAGCCGCCTGAGCCACAGGCGCCGAGCCAACCAAAAAATGTTTTAATGCAAATACTTTAAACATCACAATCTAAAAGAACATATTTACAAAAATGCAACAATATAAAAGCAGTTGAAGAAATTTTAAATACAATATTTGTTCTTTTATTTACGATAACAAAAAGATAACTGCAAGACAATTCATCAAAGCTACATTTCAGTTTCCTGAATTCTATTCCAAATTTTTCATGAAAACATAATAAAATGGTATTTTACAAATATATATATTTTTGTATTTAAACATGATACTAAAAGAATGAGTTTAGATCACATCTAATATTATTATGATAAACAAGAACCTAATATACCCTAAACATTGTAAAAACCAAGATCTCAGATTGCATCATTTTCTCTTACAATTGCCATTAGTTTTATACACAAAAGCAAAATTATTTAACATGCTTTCTTCTACAGAGTTTTTTTTTTTTTTTTTTTTTTAGAGAAGAGTCTCACGTTGTCGTCCTGGGTAGGGCACTGTAGCATCATAACTCACAGCAACCTCAAATTGGCTCAAGTAATCCTCTTGCCTCAGTTTTTCTTTCTTTTTTATTTTGAGACAGAGTCTTACCATGTGGCCCTTGGCAGAGTACCCAGGCATCACAGCTCACAGCAACCTCAAACTCTTGGGCTTAAGCGATTCTCTTGCCTCAGCCTCCCAAGTAGCTGGGAGTACAGGCACCCGCCACAATGCCTGGCTATTTTTTTAAATTTTTGTTATAGTTGTTATTGTCGTTTGGTAGGTCCAGGCCAGGTTCGAACCCACCAGCCGCAGTGTATGTGGCTGGTGCCCTAGCCGCTGAGCTATAGGCGCCAAGCCTCAGTTTTCATTTTTAGTAGAGACAGGGTCTCTTACTCTTGCTCAGAGTGGTCTTAAACTTATAAGCTCAAGCAATCCACCTGCCTCAGCCTCCCAGAGTACTAGGATTACAAGCATTAAGCCACTGCACCCTGCCTTACAAAGCTTTAATTTAACGTATTTTATTCAAAACTTGAGTTTGACTTGATGAAAAGGTGACACTGTAAGCCTTAAAAACACTACTGTACATCTAGGACTAAAACTCTATTAAACTACAGTGCCTCTTCCTCTCACTATTGCAAAAAATAAAATCTCAAAAACTATAAACATTTCTAGGGATAGACCACTAAATTCTGGAATACAATTAGTTTTGGGGCCTCATGATCTACCTGTAAATATTACAACCAAGTAAGCCAAATACAGAGCTAACAAAATGACTTCTTAATTCTACTACCATAATTACATATAAATTTCTTCATTCTATCTTATAACTCATGAAATAACCTGCCTTTAGTATAATTACCAGAATGCTTTAAAAAGAAGATAATTTCTAGTTTTCCCACAAAACAGCCTACCTGCCACCAGAAGATCCATTTAATGAATTCTGAAGATTTGGAATATTTGAACCTAGGGAAGGATTTGTGTTTCCCTGCTGAGAACTCCCACTGACCGGGCTTCCATTACCTTTCAAAATACCAGTACACTTCCAATTGTCCATATAATTAGCTGAAAGGAAAACAGCCAAATATGTTACCATGATTAATTCCTACGCACAAGAGCAAAAACTTGCACTCATATCTTTAAACTACAACTAACTAGAGAGAAACCACAAGTTATATACCTTTCATAATAAACGTTACCTCAGTTTTCTTAATTTTATTTAAGTTTTTGAAAAATTATTAACTTAGAAACATGGCTTGAGCTCAAGCGACTAAGGTGCCAGCCACATACACCAGAGCTGGCGGGTTCGAATCCAGCCCAGGCCTGCCAAACAACAATGACAAATATAAGCAAAAAATAGCCGGGCATTGGGGCAGGCGCCTGTGGTCCCAGCTACTTGGGAGGCTGAGGCAAGAGAATTGCTTAAGCCCAGGAGCTGGAGGTTGCTGTGAGCTGTGATGTCACAGCATTCTACCCAGGGTAACATCTTGAGGCTCTGTCTCAAATAAATAAATAAATAAATAAAAATAAAAACAAAGTTTTCATCAGCCATCTCCTTTCCTAAAAGATAAGTATTAACAGAGATAATTCTCTAATCGTAGAAATGATAGATTCTTCTTTGTCTTCATTATAATGAATTTTACTTACATATAAATGTAAGGAGGCCAGGCCTCTCACCATTAATCCCAGCACTCTGGGAGGCAGGGGGTGGGCTGGTTGCCTGAGCTCACCAGTTCAAGACCAACCTGAACAAGAGCAAGACCCCATCTCTAAAAATAGCCAGGCATTGTGGCAGGCGCCTATATTCCCAGCTACATAGGAGGTTGAGGCAAAGAGAATCACTTGAGCCCAAGAGTTTGAGGTTGCTGTGAGCTGTGATGCCATAGTTCTCTACCAAGAATGACATAGTGAGACACTGTCTCAAAAAAAAAAAAAAATTCTGAGGCTGACACAGTGCTTGAGCTCAGGAGTTCAAGACCAGCCTGAGCAAATGCCAGACCCCATCTCTAAAAATAGTTGCTAGTTGTAGCAAGCAGCTATAGTCCCAACTACTTGGGAGGGTAAGGCAAGAGTATCACTTGATCCCAAGAATTTGAGGTAGCTGTGAGGTATGACACCATTGCACTCAACCTCAGGGCAACTGAATGAGAATCTGTCTCAAAAAAAAAAAAAATATATATATATACACATATGTATTTCTGTTCCACACAGAAGCTTTAAAAAATTCAATTAGTCAGTAATGGCTATAAACTAAGGAAAGTGATGGTCAAAATAGCAAATTATATGTATAAGGTATTAATTCAAAAGTACGTGTAAAGTTTTTTTTTTTCAAAAATTTCCAAGTTCACATTAAGTGGAAATAAAAACTAACAATTATCCCATCACTGAAATCTTACCTTTCCACAATCTTACACAGCCATCATCTCCTGAAGATGCCAGCACTGTTCCTGTTATATTCCAACTCACTCGCCAGACCTGAGAATTATGATTATCAAACTGAGCCACGATATGGATTTCAAATTTTGTTGGACCACCAGAAGAAGTAAGTTCTTTCCTATTAACAAAAAGAATGAGAAATTCTGAGAAAAGTTTTTAAAAAAATCATATATATATAAAATTCTAAATAAAAAATACAAATTGTCTCCTTTACTTCCTGTAGTTTTTTATAATAATGTGCCATCCATATTCCCCCACCCCTTGGCCAGTTTCATTTTCTTTCTCTTTTTTTTTGAGACAGAGTCTCACTTTGTTGCCCCTGAAAGAGTGCCGCGGCATCATAGCTCACAGTAACCTCAAATTCTAGGGCTCAAGCGATTCTCTTGTCTCAGCCTCCCATGTAGCTTGGACTATGGGCTCCCACCACAATGCCCAGCTATTTTTTCTTTTTTTAGAGACAGAGTCTCACTCTAGCGCAGGCTGGTCTCTAACTCATGAGCTCAGGTGATCCACCTGAGTGCTGGATTACAGGCATGAGCCACCATGCCCAGCCACCAGCTCACTTTCATCTGACTCTCCACAATCTAGAGCAGGCATCCTCAAACTGTGGCCTACCTAGGACATTTACCCGGCCTGCTGGGTGTTTCTGCTGCCACTGCCTGTCCTGCTTAGCAGCCAACTCACCCTGGGGCCCGCAGTCTGGCCCTCCAATGATCTGAGGGACACTGAACTGGCCCCCTGTTTAAAAAGTTTGAAGACCCCTGATCTAGAGTGAGCACCCAAAAAGATATTCACTGTTTTATGGAATAAAGAATCAACAAACAAGGTCAAAGAATAAAATTGATAATAATTAGGGCAGCACTGGCTCCATATATCAAGGGTGGCAGGTCCAAACCCAGCCCAGGCCAGCTAAAACAGTACAGACAACTGTAACAAAAAATAGCTGGGTGTTGTGGCAGGCACCTGCAGTCCCAAATACTCGGGAGGCTGAGGCAAGAGAATTGCCTAAGCCTAAGAGTTGGAGGTTGTTGTGAGCTGTGACACCTCAGCACTCTACTGATGGCGACAAAATGAGACTCTGTCTAAAAAAAAAAAATAATTGATAATTAATTTTCAAAGGAAAGAATGGAAGAATGGAAAAAAGAAAATGAAAAACAACAAAATTAAAGCTAAATATTTCACAAGAGTATCTCCATGCTGATTTAGTTTTCCCTAAGTATGCTGCCACTTCTCATTCATTTAAAAATCTAAAGAGTACCAATTACATTCAGAGAATCCAATTTATTTTCAGTTAGCAGCCTACATAAAACATAATTAAGAGAATATAAATTTCCCCTCTTGGCCCATGCCTGTAATCTTAGCACTCTGGGAGGCCAAGGTGAGTAGACTGCTTGAGCTCAGGAGCTGGAGATTAGCCAGAGCAAGAGAGAGACCCTATTTCTAGTAAAAATCAAAACACTAGCTGGGTTTTGTGGTGGGCACCTATAGTGCCAGCATGTGGAGAGGCTAAGGCGAGTGGATTGCTTAAGCCCAGGAGTTAAAGGCTGCTGTGAGCTATGAGGCCATAGTATTATACCCAGGGCAACAGCAAGACTATGTCTCAATTAATCAATCAATCAATAAACCTCCTCTCTGGCTCATTGCCTATAGCTTAATAGTTAGTGTGCCAGCCACATACACCAAGGTTGGCAGGTTTGAACCTGGCCCAAGCTTGCTAAACAATGACAGGTACAACAAAGGAAATAGCCAGTTGTTGTACAAGTGCCTACAGTCCCAGCTAGTTGGGAGGCTAAGGTAAAGAGAATCACTTAAGAGCTTGAGGCTGCTGTGAGCTGTAACACCACAGCACTCTACCGAGGGTGACATATTAAGACTGTTTCCAAAAAAAATAAAAATAAAAATAAAAATCTCCTCTCTTTGTTCAATTCCCCACCCTAAAAAAGTCGTATGTTTACAAATAAAATGTTCAAGAAAGAATTCATTCTTCGAGGCGGCACCTGTGACTCAGTGGATAGGGTGCTGGCCTCAAATATTGAGGGTGGCAGGTTCAAACCCGGCCCTGGCCAAACTGCAAGGAAAAAATAGGTGGGTGTTGTGGCTGGTGCCTGCAGTCCCAGTTGGAGGTGGCTGTGAGCTATGACGCCACAGCACTCTACCATGACGCCACAGCACACTACCAAGGGTGATAAAAGTGGATCATGCCCATAATGTAACCTCTTTGGGAGGCCAAGATTGGCGGTTCATATTTGGCCAGAAGTTCAAGACCAGCCTAGGGAATACAGTTTGACCTTCTCACTCAAAAAATCTAAAAATTTAACCACATGTAGCGGCATGCATCTGTAGTCCCAGCTACTTGGGAGGCTTAGGCAAGGGGATGACTTAAGCCTAAGAGTTTGAGGTTATTATAAGGCCATGGTACTTTAAGAGAGCAAGACCAAAGAAAAAAATCCATTCTACAGATCATAGCTATATCTATTCTCTCCTCTACAATAATCAGGAGGCAACAATATTTCCATATTCTTAATTATTCCTGAAACTCACCTCACAGGTTTTAATGTAAAAATTCTCACATCTTTGGTTGCTATCGCTAGAATATGGAAGGATCTTCCCAAATTTGGAGCAAATGCAATGTCATGTACAGGGTCAGTGACTGTCATAAGAGTTTCAGCTTTTGCATATTTCCTAATGAAAAAAACAATTAACATTAAAAATTTCAGAAATAAAATTAACAAAAGTCCACACATCACTACACTTAAATTTTTTTTTTTCATGCTGCTCATGATTAAGTTGGACTTACCGGTATACTGGGCTGAATTGTGGCCCCCAAGAGAATATGTCCAAGTCTTGACCCCCAGAACCTGTGAATGTGACCTTAATCAGAAAAAGTCTTTGTAGATATAATTGAGGATCTTAGCTCGATTTCGTGTAGGTCCTAAATCTCATGTCCAGTACCCTCACAAAAGACAGAAGAAGAAAAACAGAGAAAGCCAAGTAGGCAGAGGCAGAGACTGGCATTATGCTACCACAAAGCAAGGACTCCTAGAGCCACCAGAAGCTGGGAGAGGCAGGAAGCAGCCTGGAGGAAGCACAGCCCCACCAACACCTTTATTTCTGATTGCTGGCCTCTGGATCCATGAGTAAACATGTGTCTTGTTTGGTTAAACCACCCAATCTGTGGGAATGTGCTGTGGCAGCCTAGAAAACATATAAAATCCCAGTTTCCCTCCCTTAAGTTTAGCTTAAAACAGTTTAATAAAAACTTAATTAGAAAAAGGTCTTGATTTATTAACCAGTAATATTTTCCATTAAAGAAGAGTAATATCTTTAGAAGTGAGACAATCTGGAAAAAAAAGAATATACTTCCTAAGTATTTGAGTGCAAACATAAAACTGGAAACAACAGGAATTAAGTTTTTTGAGTAGTAATAAAAGAAAGCTATTCCATATATCATCCTTAGAATTTATTTATTTATACACGAAGTCTCACTACGTTGTCCTCGGTAGAATGCCATGGTATCACAGCTCACAGCAACCTCCAACTCTTGGGCTTAAATGATTCTCTTGCATCAGCCTCCCAAGTAGCTGGGACTACAGGCGCCCAACTATTTTTTTTTGTTTTTTTGTTATAGTTGTCACTAATTATTTAGCAAGCCTCAGCCAGATTCTAACCCGCCATTACTTATGTATGTGGCTGGCGCCCTAGCCTTGAGCTAAAGGCGCCGAGCCATTCTTAGAATTCTGTTTTTGGGCTCGGCGCCTGTAGCTCAACGGCTAGGTGCTGGCCACAAACACTGGAGCTAGCAGATTTGAACCTAGCCCAGGCCTGTCAAACAACAATAACAACTACAACCAAAAAATAGCCAGGCATTATGGTGGGCGCCTGCAGTCCCACCTACTTGAGAGGCTAAGGCAAGAGAATAGCTTAAGCCCAAGAGTTAGAGGCTGCTGTGAGGTATGATGCCATATCACTCTACCCAGAGTGATACAGTAAGACTCTGTCTCAAAAAGAAAAAAAAAAAATTCTGTTACTGTTATCTATAAATAGAGAATAAGAATATAGCTCAGTGTTTAGTGCTCAGTGGTTAGGGTACCCACCACATACTCCAAGACTGGTGGGTTCGAACCCAGCCCAGGCCTGACAATTGCAACAACAACAGAGCCAGGCATTGTGGTGGGCGCCTGTAGTCCCAGCTACCTGGGAGGCTTGACGCTTAAGCTCAAGAGTTAGTGGTTGCTGTGAGCTGTAATACCACAGCACTCTACCAATGGCAACATAGTGAGACTCTGTCTCCAAAAAAAAAAAAAAAGAAAGAAAGAAAAAAAAATTCCTGCCTTAATGCATTGAATATAAACATCCATAATTATTCCCCTCTAGAGGTTTAGGAGGCAGTCAGCCCAGCCACAAACTTGCCTTTACCAACATTTATTTCATTCATCCATTCATTCTTTCACCATTAATCTATTCAGTGGTCACTATGTGCCAG